ATACGCATGTCGAAATTACTTATGAAGTCATAAAGGCTCATTTGACAGTCACTCTATAATGCAAAGCATACAAAATTTACAAACTACTGAATCGCCAGACAATTATTGTACCATCTCATACATACATACACATATGTATGTATGCAAATGTATGTGCTCATTCAAAGGCCAATCAACGGTAAATGTTGGGCATTACAATTTGCTCAGGCAGCAAGAGTTACGCACACAGGCCACAAATGCTCACACATGTTTCCAGAGACTGAAAGTGTGTGTGTTCTTGCCCGTCGCGAAATCATATTCTTTATGCTTATCAACGCTTTCATACCCTTCACAACAATAACCATCGAAACGCTTACATTTTCTTTGCATAAGCGTGACAAACGCTTTTATGATTTCGGTATACCCTTCACTCAAAAGGAACGAGCTGGGATCGTCGCGAACAATTTTCAATTTCTGTGCATGTCGGGCAGTCTCGACTAGTCGACTAGCTCTAGAGCTTTCTTCCTTGGTTTTGTTGGAAATATAAACATATGACTCGTGATAACTATGAATTAATGAGAGTTTTAAAATATCGCAGGTTTAAAATAACGAGAGTCGACTGTACACACTAGTCGACTCTCGTTATTTTAAACCTGCGATATTTTAAAACTCTCATTAATTCATAGTTATCACGAGTCATATGTTTATATTTCTCTTTATATTTCGAATGATTCCCATACAGTTTTATGTCAAACACTCGACAATTAAACTTTGCGAAGGTTCTTGGCGTATTAGTAAGAACTTTGAATTTGAATTTTGGACTCCCCTGAAATTACCTTTCTTTATTGTGCGTGGTTGCGTGTTACGCATAACTTACAAAACTTTTTTTTCAATTTCATATTATATAATTATATTTTTTATTTATTTGGTCATCCCTAGATTAATTCATGATCGCGAAGTACAATTATGTGATGGCACAAGATTGCTTCGTCAGGATCGCTATCAAGCGCTTCTGCAAGATGGATTTAGCAAAAGTCAGCTGTCTGAGCGTAATGTGCTCCCTATACCAGATAGTTTTCGCATTATTGCATTGGGCGAGCCTTTGAAATCGAAAAATGCTCAATTTAATTGGCTGACACCACAATTGTTAAGCATGTTCCTCTATCAGGAGCTGCGGCCACTGCAACAGAATGAAGAGCAAGAATTGCTAATTCAATTGTGCGGCGAATTGCATCCTAATATGAATAAGCTAATGATGCTGGCACAACTATTACGAAACTCAAAAAATCCATTACTTTATGGCCTAGCTGAGACGTTATCAACACGCCGATTAATAAAAATTGGTAGACGCTTAAAAGCATATCCATCAAGCAATCTGAACGACATTTATGATATTTTGCAACATACATTTCTTATGAAATTTATGCCCTCACTTTCTCGTACAGTTTTAGAAGAGGCAATGATGGAGGCAGGAATTGACAAATGTACAAAAAAAAATTGGTGCAATGATGAAGAGGGACGGCTAATTAGTGTAGTGAACAATAAACTACGAATTGGAGAAACAGAAATGGAGCTGTCAGAGATATCACGGGATCAGCAATCAAAAGTGCCCAGCACACTATTCTATGATATGCCACAGCACGTTATGATGCTCGAACGCCTCCTTCAGGACTTTATCATCGGTGAACATTTGCTTTTAGTGGGCAATCAGGGCGTGGGCAAAAACAAACTCGTAGATCGTTTACTTGAGCTCATGCGCCGTCCCCGTGAGTATTTACAGCTACATAGGGATACTACTGTGCATAGCCTAACAGTACAATCAACGCTAAGCGATGGGAAAGTGGTCTTTCAAGATAGTTCCCTAGTAAAAGCAGTGAAGTTTGGTCATGTGCTCGTTATAGACGAGGCGGACAAAGCACCAGTCAATGTTTCCTGCATTCTTCGCACTTTAATTGAGCGCGGCGAGATGGTGCTTTCAGATGGTCGTATGATTGTCCCATTTGGGGCTTGTGCAAAAAGCCCTAATTTAATTGAAACGCACGCAAACTTCAGAGTTATTGTATTAGCAAACCGGCCAGGGTACCCATTTTTAGGTAATGATTTCTTTGCGGCAGTAGGCGACGTTTTCAGTTGCCATGCCATCGATAATCCCACACCACGATCGGAAATATACCTCCTACAGCGGTATGGACCATCACTACCTATTAAAACTCTCACAATGTTGGTAAATGCCTTTGGTGAGCTTCGTAGTATGGCGGACGAGGGGCTACTTAATTATCCGTATTCTACGAGGGAAGTCATTAGCATTGTTAAACATTTGGAGCGCTATCCTAAGGAAGATATGTCTGAACTGGTAGGAAATGTATTTGATTTTGATCGGTACAATCCGGAGACTTTGGAGCAAATCACCAACGTTCTGGCTAAACACGGTCTGTCGATCGATGTATATGCAAGAAATGAAATGCAAAATCTGCGTAAGAAACATAAGATTAAATTGAGTATCGAACGCCACAGCGGGTTGGATGTGTCAGGTCCTAAATTCGGCAAATTAGATCCTAAAAATGCGCCCCATGTAGGTGGCAACACATGGGCCGGTGGTAGCGGCGGACGCGATACAGCAGGACTTGGTGGCAAAGGTGGGCCCTTTCGTTTTGACAAGGGTCATACTGTTCATCAATTGAGTGATGAAGAAAAAGCTAATATTCCACAAGAAATAAAGCGAGCCGCACGTGAAATGAACCGAAAGGCATATGAACAAAAATTAAAAGAGATAAAAATGTCTGCTCTCGACTATAGTTTGTATGCTCAGTTCAGTAAAGCCAACCAAAAACAAGTACAACAGTTAAGAAGCATTTTAGAGGCTATGCAAACTAAAGATAATGAACGCCAATGGCAGAAGTACCAATGTCATGGTGACGTCGATGACACTCGTCTTATTGAAGGTATCGCAGGAGAGAAAAATATTTACAGGCGACGTATCGATGCGAATCCCTGGTCGAATAACATCCATGAGAAACCGAATCGACTTAAACTTGTGGTTGATGTGTCAGGATCGATGTACAGGTATTAATCCTTTCAACAATGCTATATCTTTTATTTAATACGTTTTCTAAGATTCAATGGCTATGATGGACGGCTAGACCGCCAATTGGAAGCAGTAGTTATGGTTATGGAAGCTTTCGAGGGTTACGAGAAAAAAATTGTGTTCGATATTGTTGGACATAGTGGTGAAGGCTGGGAGCTTCCATTTGTCCCTGTGGGCAACTGCCCTAAAAACGCAAAGGAGCGCTTTGAAATAATACGTATGATGCATGCTCATTCCCAATTTTGTTGGTCCGGTGATAGCACCCTAAAAGCGGCACGAGAAGCTTGTTCCGTTCTGGGAGCAGAAGTTGATTATGACAATGGGGTTGTCGTTCTTCTTAGTGATGCCAATCTCGCACGCTACGCTATTTCGCCAAAAGATTTAGCTGAAGCTCTTAGTGGCAGTGAACCTAAGGTTAAGGGATATGTTATTTTTATTGGAAGTTTCGCAGAAGAGGCCAACAAGTAAGTTTTTATCATATCAAATGAAATGAAATGTTGTCCAATTATTTTGTGATTTCTTCTAGAATTGAAAATGAAATGCCTATGGGACAGAGCTTTGTATGTTTGGACCTCACCAAATTGCCGCAAATACTACAGCAAATTTTTGCATCTTCCATTCTCTAAAGAGATGAATGATTTGCACAAGAAGGATTCATCATTAATTGTAATTCTTAGAGTGTAAGCGTCGATAATAAAGAAAATAACGTGGGTTTAAAATTCCTCCTCTTTATTAAAAGAAGAGGTCTTTATATACCCTGAAGCCATTGAAAATCAGGGTATAATGGTTTTGTTGAAATGTATATAGCAGGCAGAAGGAGGCGTGGCAGACCCCACAAAGTATATATATTCTTCCTCAGGGCAACAAGCTGAGTCGATTTAGCTCTGTAAATATTGGAGTTAAGTGGTTTGCAATAAGTGTCCGAAATTCTTATGACACTTCTGGTCCTATATTTTCTAATTCTTGTGACACTTATGGTTAATGAATTTTTTACATTAAAGAAGAATGTAAACCTTTTGTGTCAATTGTAGTTATTGGTAATGAAGCTAATGGTATGGTGTTAGCTGATGCTGTGGGACATGATGCTGATGGTATAACTCCTCCCCTCTTAGAGTATGAATTCTCCTGAATTCTGTTTAAATTAATATTTATGTTTTGCTTTTTGCAACGTAAGTTTATATAAATCATAAAACATATAACAATGATTAAAATTATTACCATAATACTATTAATTATTTCTTATTACAATTCTGTGATTTCTTTTAAATTTTCAAAATTTTTTATTGTTAAATGATCAAGTGTTTTTATAAGTTTATAGGTCGTAAAATTAAATTTTTTCATTTGAAAATGTGTCTTTTAAGATTTCGATTTTACAATTTCCAAATTGTATGAGATTATTTCCATTTAATATTATATTTCTTTTGTCACAATTCTGATGTATTATGCTATTATTATGCAATTATTTTTGTATTTCAAAATGCCCATGCGAATTAATTTTAATTTATAAACATCAATATCAAATCTTTTTATTTCTTCTTTTGATCAAATTTCTGGTAATATTATATTAATCTTTGCGCAGAGGCTATATGTATGTAGAACAAACTTTTCTACAACAGAAAATGTTAAGTTGGTCGACCACTATACTTCGTATTTGCTCGGCTCGGTCGCTGGAGGTTTGAGCACTGAAAATATTGCACGACAGAGTCAGTGCGCTACAAGCGCTCAAACGAAGTGGTCTAGTGCTGCAAAAGAATCGATATTCCGTAATATCGATAGTCACGATATTTTCAGAGAAAAAGGATCGATAAAAACGATATATCGAACACTTCTTTTAAATGTTAATTTTCTTGCATATCTATTATAATATTTATATTAATTATGACTTCTTAATGGATAAAATGGCAACCATTTCAAGATTAAAATAAAAGCAACAGCATCAAACAAAAACAAATTTATTCAACCGAACAAAGTCGTATAACAAATTATTTTTCATTAACTTAAACCTAAAACAGCAATTCATTAAAGCTCAAATTCACTATGCTCCTTAAAATTATATTATAATAATAACAAAAACAATTGCCTCCATGGCAGTTTGAAAAAAAAATAAAAATTACAAAACCCATTGGTTTTTATTTAAAAAAGTTAGTTTGTTGTCTGTTTCCGGGTTAAATGACGCCCTTCTGGAATTAGCAATCATTCCAGCTTTGCTAAACATCCTCTCACTCTCAGCGGACGTTGCCTCATATTTTTTATTTACAAAGTGCAAAATGCTACCGAACTTGGGTGCCAATTCACTCTCTTGCAGCGATGGATGCATGCGTGTTAAGTGATTTTTAACGTTTGTTGTATTTCCACTTGTTTTGCAGACCTTAAAGCACTTTCTGCACACCGCACAACCATCCTTTCCTTTTTCAAAATATTTCCACACTTCGGATTTTTTTGGGGTTCCCACGGTCTTATTTTCTTCATCGGAGTCAACCCCCGCCGCGCCTAAAACACGCAAGCTATGATTCCAAGCTTTTCCAATAGGATATATCAATTGTACTTACGTTTTCTTCCCAAAAACTGAACCATTTTTCTTTTCTTTCTATTGCAATTAAATTAAATCAATAAATTTTGTATACAATTTAGCAAACATATAACCACTGACCAGAGAACACATAGACCGGACAAGTAGTGTAAAGCGTTTTGCACACTTTTTTTCGGCAGTTATCTCCCAGACACTTCGTATTTGCTCGGCTCTTCACTTTTTGGGTTCGGGCTACGAAAATATACGAAAGCACAATCATTTCGCTTCATGCGCTCGACCGAGATGGTCGACTGTTGAACAAAAGATCCCTCTGCGCTGAATGTTTCCCTTGCTCTCTCTCTCTCACGATGCTCTCTGCTCTCTCAAATATGTATATGTATGTATGCATGTGAGCACAAGCAGCGCTCACAAAAATTGAAATTTCTTCGCAGCGAGAACCCATGCCTTCCCTTCTGTGTGAAGAGTATACCGAACTTTTCAAACCGATTGCCATTCGTTTTCGTTATTATTTGTGGGAAAGGTATGAAAGTTCGGTATGAAAAGTTCGGCATAGTCTTCACACAGAAGGGAAGGCATGGGTTCTCGCTGCGAAGAAATTTCAATTTTCGTTAGCGCTACTTGAGCTCACATGCAGTACATAGTACATGTAGCACGGGACAGTGTGTGTGTGCATGCTCGTCGTGAAAACATTTTCATTATGCGCACCAACGCTTTCATAACCTTCCCACAAATAATAACGAAAACGCATGGCAAACGGTTTGAAAAGTTCGGTATACTCTTCACACAGAAGGGAAGGCATGGGTTCTCGCTGCGAAGAAATTTCAATTTTCGTTAGCGCTACTTGTGCTCACATGCATACATAGATATACATATTTGAGAGAGCAGAGAGCATCGTGTGAGAGAGAGAGCAAGGGAAACATTTAGCGCAGAGGGATCTTTTGTTCAACAGTCGACCATCTCGGTCGAGCGTATGAAGCGAAATGATTGTGCTTTCGTATATTTTCGTAGCCCGAGCCCAAAAAGTGAAGAGCCGAGCAAATACGAAGTGTCTGGGAGATAACTCCCGAAAAAAAGTGTGCAAAACGCTTTACACTACTTGTCCGGTCTATGTGTTCTCTGGTTAGTGCTAGTAGCCTGCTACAATTCGGCCATCCTGACTCTGAGATAGCCCTCTATCTCTGTTAATTTTGTATAACTATTTACATATTTGATACTTAAATTCTTTAAAAAATTCTTATAGATATATATTTACATGTTCTGAAAATTAAATTATTAATTAAATGTTGCACACTAGTTATGTCATAAATATTCACAATACGAGTCATTATCTCTCTTATGCTTTTATCCAATGTCTTATATTGTTTGTACTCCAAACGCCCTGATAAGGATTCCTGGATAATTGGAAGCCATCAACGTCTTTTATCAAACACCTATCGTTCTTCAGTACTTTATCTATGACATATGGTCCTTTGGATTTAGGTATTAATTTTCTTGATATTCCCACCGTACTGTCGAAATTTTTAACCATTACATAATCTCCTGGCTTGTATACGTTTGCAGCTTTTCTAGCATTATTGAAGTTCTCTTCGTTCCGTGCTTGTGATGCAGATTGATAATGTTGTGCCTGTTCTCTAATATCTTCTAAATTCTGTGAACTGTATGTATCTAATCCTGTTATTTTCTCTAATTGTCCTCCTAAACTATCACTAATTTCCCCATTTTGCGCTATTCCGAATAACATTACGCTTGGCAATTGCTTGGCGCTACAATGTTGAGTGTTATTCAAAACGTATTCCACTCTCTCAATTATCGTATCCCAATGCTGTCCATTATCAACTTCTATTAGTTTAGCTATCATCGGACCTAAACTTCTGTTTATTCGCTCCATCTGACCATTCGCTCGTGGCGATCCTGTTGCAATCCTAATATGCTTTACCTTTGCTTCTTCTAAAAATTGGTCAAATTCCGTTGACGTAAAATAACTTCCTCTATCCGATACAATACATTCTGGCTTACTGTATGTTCTAAAATATTCTCCCAACGCCTCTACTACTTCCTTAGTGCTTGTTGTTCTAGTAGTGAATAATCTGACAAACTTTGTAAACTCATCTACTACTGCAAAAATTTATTTCTTCGATCTGCCACTATCCACTGGTCCATAATGGTCAATATGAATTATTTGGAAAGGTTTATTTCCTTTTGGAATGCTATGCAGCAACCCTTCTGCTTTGCCCGTTCCAGGCGAGAATGCTATGCATTTCAAAACAATTTTCAATATGTTCTAAAATTTTCTTTTTCATATTGGGGAACCAATATAATTTACTTATTGCATTAAGCATCTTGTCCCTTCCAATGTGCCCTAATTCATCGTGATATTTTTATACTCATTCACGAAAGTGAATCAGTATATTGGTTTTGTGCAATGTCCGTCTTGCTGTCCGTCCGTCTGTCCGTCTGTCCGTCCGTCCGTCTGTCCGTCTGTCCGTATGAACGCAATCTATTTCGGCGCTATTGAAGCTAGAGACTTGAAATTTGGAACACATACTCGTGTATATCTCCGATTTATAAAGTGTTAAAATTTTTCCGATCCGCCCACTAGGGGCGTGGCAAATCGGAAAATGCATTTTCCGATATACCAGAAATCATGTTTGTTGAAGAGCTAGAAAGCTGAAATTTGGTATCTAGGTCCGCGTTGACCACCCAAGATCACGAGCTATGGCGGATATATCTACGCCCATTGGGGGCGTGGCAAATCGGATAAAACTGTATCTCCTAAAGTTGTAAACCTAGAATGCTGAAATTTTGCACGTCAGCTAATGGTATGATTCTATAAAGTCTGAAGATAAATTACAAGTCTACGCCCATTGGGGGCGTGGCAAATCGGACCTGAAGATATAGTGATTTTTTAAATTCTCCTATATTTTGGACACTATTGATGGCAGAGACCTCAAATTTTGTATATATACTCGGACTGATCACCCAAGACCAAAAAGTTTTGTCGGATATATGTCCGCCCACAGGGGGCGTGGCAAACCGCAAAAGTTTATATCTCCTAAAGTATAATAGCTAGAAGCTTCAAATTTGGATAGTTGAGGTACTGGTAGCCTCCTCTATCGATTCCCCAAAAAATAAATTTTACGCCTCTTTAGGGGCGTGGCATATCGAAAAATACCCTGTAATTTTCACATTTTTTGAGGGTAAGCATTCAAACTTTGCAGTTAGGGTACCGTTATCTCTTTCTAAAATCTGACCAAAAATGATGTGTCTACGCCCAGTTGGGGCGTGGCAAATCGGAAAAACCTGTATATTCTACAGTATTAGAGCGAAACTTAGAAACTAAATTGCTGATGGGGTGTGAATGAGTATTCCGCAGTCGGTAACGCCCGACTGCAACGTTCTTACTTGTTACAATACATGTTCTTCCATCTTTTCTGGTACATAAAATAATAGTCTGCCATTGTTTGTCTTCCTAAATATAACACCATTTCTCATTTCAAATAATTTGGGCTCTCGTTTCTCTAACAATTTTCTAATTTCTTGTAACTTTGCATCTTTTGTTTGGCAAATAATTAAATTAGTCTCAAAACTATTTGCTTCTGTTACCATAATGATATTATTATATCTACTCAATGCATCTACATGCTGCATTTGACTTCCAGCCCTGTGCACTAATTCGTAATCAAACTCTTGCATTTCCAATGCCCATCTTGCAATTCTAGGGTTAAGATCTATTTTATTTAATGTTAAAGTTAGAGAATTGCAATCCGTTACTATTTTAAATTTCCTGCCTTGCAAATATATTCTAAATCTCCTAAGTGCATTAATAATGGCTAAGGTTTCCAGCTCGAAACTATGATATTTTGCTTCCGTTTCTGTCGTTCGCTTTGAAAAATAAAATACATGATGCAGCTTTCCGTGTTCTTTTTTTTGTAAAAGCACTGCTCCAAATCCCAACGCACTGGCATCACAATGCAATTCTATGTCATCTTTATGATTATATAACGCTAATACCATTGCTTTTAACAGTTTATCCTTCAAGCATAAAATACAATTGAGTTCCTTTTCTTCACATTGGAGTTTCCTATCTTTCCGCAATAAGTCATACAACGGTTTTTCCAAAGTTGAAAAGTCTGAAAATGAAATATGAACACAACCCGAGAAAACTTTGCACTGCCTGAACTTTATTAGGTATGCGGAAATTTTTTACCGCTTCTAATCCCTTATCATCTGCTTTAATGCCATCTTCTGATATTACAAACCCCAATTATTTAACCTTGCTCTGCAAAAATTCGCATTTATCCTAATCGTTTTAAAACCTCTTCTAGTATCTTGAGATGCTCGGACACATTTTCGCTGGCAATCATTATATCATCCATATATACGATTACCTTGCTTTCCTTTATTAAATCTGCAAATATATCATTAATGAACCTTTGAAAAATTTGCGGAGCAGTTTTTAATCCCATAGGCATTCTCAAGAACTCAAACTGTCCTAACGGCGTAACAAACGATGTGTATTTTACGGACTCTTTCTCTACAAAAACATGAAAATATCCATTCTTAAGGTCAAGCTTAGTGAAAACATAACGGCAAAGGATAATTATCTTTGATCATGATTTTGTTGAGTTTTCTAAAATCAACGCACATTCTTAGGTCTCCTGTTTTTTTCATTACCAATACAATTGGCGAAGCATACTCTGAGCAACTAGGTTGTATGATGCCATCTCTAAGGTATTCGTCTAACATTATCTGTATATCTGTGCAGATTATTGGTAGGAACCTAAAAGGACCCACCCGAAGACGGTGTTCTAGGCCATGGGACGACCGTCAGTGCTGGGGACGATTCCTGGAAGGATGACGTGAGAATACACGTCAGCCCCCAGCACAACAGACACCGTACTGGGTCGAGCCCAATTGCCGTCGGCGAGCGTAATCCCAGCCGGATTGGCTGCGTGCTCGATCGACCGGATTGGCGTCCGGCAATTGAGCTGCGGGTCTAATTGCAGGATAGCATTAATATGGAAATCGGATGTTTTCGAACAGATGGTCGCCGTGCAAACCTCTCCCGGACCCACGCTAGTGGCGGAAAGACCCATGGCCCTTGCCAATGAAGCATGGATCCGAGTAGTAGGGCTACACGGATCGATCAACGCCCTCACATCGAAATTCTTCTGGTCCGTTTGCACAATGACAATTGCCGTGGGCAGGATGCTAACGGCCTTGTGCTGCATCAGCGTGCTCAGCGGCGGCGTAACTTCCCTCGTGGTGGTGGATGCTGCCTGGTGGCGTCGTCCTTTGCGGGATCCTTTTTGTGGTGCAGGTGTCCCGGCGAGGGCGGAGGAGGTGGGCCCGCTGATACGGGCTGCAGCGGGACGACGTCGCTGTCGGCGACGAGCTCCAGGCAGATGCAGCAGCGTGTGATGGCTCTGGCCACACGTCTTGCATTTGGCCTTGCTTCGGCAGGATTGCCCGGAGTGCTGGTGCGCCAGACAATTCGCGCAGTACTTATTAATTAGCACGGCGCGAAGACGTTTTTCGGCCGGAAGGCCCAGGAAACGCCTGCACTTCCGCAGAGCGTGGACCCCTCTACACACGCGGCATCGGAAAGAGTTGATGCCAAGTGTCTCCACGGATTGAACAGCTGATGGCATAGCTGAAAAGGAGAGATGTGCGGGGTGGTAAGTGGTGGAATTAGATGCACATACATGGTTAGTTGGACATCACAGCGGTGTTATCGTCCGTTGGTAGGATGACCAACTTATGGACGGGTCTACGGACAATGCCCCGGGAGGTGAGAATGTCCGCCACTTGGACCTTCCCATCATCTCCTGGGTGCGTGAGGTGGACACGGCCGAGCCGCCACTCGTTGATGGCGACATTGTCGTCTTTCACGATGACCATGTCGCCGACCTTCAAGTCACGTTGTGCGAATTGCCATTTGAGGATTTGCATCGTGAGGTCGGACTGAAGGACCGGGCCTGGATGAAGAATATCATTCAGGCTCTTCCCATTGGAAGATGGGCACGATGCATTGAACACCACCCTCACTTTGGTGGCAGGTAAAAGTTACTCACTGCAGGATTGCAATGTGAGAGCACTGGCCTCATATGACCCAAATCGAGATACTCTTGCAGGATAGCTTCGTATTCGGCCTTAAGTGTCGGATTCTTGGACAATCTGCTCTCATTCTTGAGAAACTGCCCCAGAGCGATGGATCGGGAGTGACCTAAGTCAGGGTGATCCGACTTGTCTCTCCGTGTGGTTCGGACAAAGTTATCCTCACACGCAGAGTCCGGCTCACTGGCTACCTTGGGGAGATTCTCCACCTCCCAAAATTTGGTGATGAGGTGGTCGAGTTTTTCATCGTGGAGAACGGTAACCCTAGTCGTGAAAGCGGAGGCTTCTTTGTGACTGGACCCGTAAGAATCCAGCCGAAGATTGTCTCTTGGCCTATAAGTGATCCGCAGAGGTTAGGGAGGAAAGCTGTTAATAGCATAATCGGGCTCTGTGGGGGAGAAGCAATCCTGTTAATGGGATCTGGCATTAACATTATCTGTAATTTTTCCTTTTCAGTGTATGATAACCTTCTTGGTGAACAGCTAAACGGTTTTGCTTTCTCAATTCACATTTGTTCTTAGGTTTCACTGGCTTTTCAGCAGCTACATATGCCACTTTCAGCAATCTAATTAGTTTTTCTCGTACATCATAACTAATGTTTTCACCGATAATATATGTCTCTTTTTCATTGTCTCCTTCAACCATATTAATTTGAAGCATCCTGTTTTCAAAATTATCGTCAAAAATGGTTTTGCTATTTATTTCCATTGACTTTTCTAAGCACTCTTTTGAACTGTCGTTCTCTTCTTTGCCTAATAATTTTTCTTCTAACTCTATATTATTTGACCATTTAGCTTACAATTTCTCTTCTAATTCTTCATTTTTTAACAATTTATCTAACAATTTCTCTTCTAATTCTTCATTTTCTAACAATTTTTTCTCTAACGTACTTAATTTTCCTTTTGCCGCATCATCGTTTTTTCTAAGTTTTGCTATAATAGGCTTCGATTCGACCAACGTGCTGGCTGTTCTTTCCACTGAAATCATCCTCAGAGCGTTTGGGTCAACGTACAAATTACAAGCTTCCATGAAATCCCTTCCTAAAATTACTCCCCACCTCATAGATTCATCAGACACAACTATTAACCAAACATTTTTTTTTTTTAACTTCTTGAAAACATGAACAAATGTTTTTCCAATAACATTCAACTGGCTTTCATTTAGCCCAAAGTAATTTTCTGCGTGTGCTTCAAGTTTTATTCCAAATGGAACACACGATTTTTTAATAAACGAAATGGGACTTCCTGAATCTATGAGGCATTCTGCAATAATTGACGTTTTATCTTTGGTCTTAAAATATATATTGACTAATCTTACGAAATTGTTTCATATATCATTCTTCCTCTGCGTGCATTGGTCCTTAGCGCCTAAGTGGTAATACGTACCCTTCTCCCTCTTGGGCTTCTGACAATCTCTTGCCCAATGTTCCTTATAGTTGCAGTTGAAGCAACGCGTCTCCTTCATTGCATTATCGAGCCTTAGTCCCACTGCTGTTGTCCATTTTCCTCCAGTAGATCGTTGCCGTGGCAGACGCACCTCTGCAAAAGCCCTTACCAATTTGCTGGGGTCTTCAAAGCACTGTATCCTGGCCTGCGCGCGTAAAACTGCATTTGGGATTCCTTCAATGAGACCATCCAGTAGCTCGTCTACATTTAAATGGGTTTCCCTTGCTAAACGTGTTTTTTCTTCATAATACAGGGTAAACTTCTCGTCGACATTCCATATACGTGCCCGACGCATTTCGGCCTTGGATATCTTGCTTTCGAATGCTGCTGCCAATCCATCCAGTAGTGTGCTCAACGGTTGTACAATCCTCGATGGATCCTCATGTATCCACTGCATGGCTTTCCCTTTTAATTTGGCCATGCACAGCAGCTTTTTTTTGCATGTCCGTTAGCTGATATAATAAGATACAGATAATAGACTCCTCCCCGGTGAATTCCGCCATAATTTCTTTAGCTAATTTGAACATCATTGACATCACCTCATCATTGTTCGTTTCATTTATTACGCAACTTTCACCGGCGCCCTTTTGGCGCGCGTCAGTAGCGCGTTCCTCGAATTCAGCTTCTGCATCGTTAATTTCGTCACGCTTGCTGTTGCCGTCTCTGTCAAAATGTCGTGTGTGAAAATTTTTTAGCTGCTTGTTCGCTGCGTCGATCTGCTCGCTTAGCTCTCGCAAAACTTCTTCGTTCCTGTCTATTTCCTCTTGTTGCATTTGCAATGTCTGAGATACTCCAGTTTGAGCTGAGTCCTCCTCACTCTGTTCCAATTCGGGGGCGCTGCCGCGCAAATTTGCGGACACGCCATTGAGGCGAGCGACAAGTTCAGTCTTGCACCCTTGGGTCGACAAGCCCAATGCAGCTAGCCAATTTTTTAACTGCACCACAGATACTTCGACTAGTCTTAAATTCATATTGTTTAACTTGAAAATTTGTGCACTTTATCCCACTTCTGAGATTGTAGTAGGCCTTTCACTTAATTTCTTTATTTCTTAATCTCTTAATTTCTTAATTTCACTCACGTCTTCTCTTGTTCACAATCCAGCTTAAAATGTATCGATCTACCTCCTCTTCTTCTATTACTCAAAATGGCACGTCACATATCGACAACCTCCCCAGCCACCGATATGGTTAACTATCGATAGATGTGTATCTATCGATGGTTAACCATAGTGCTGTTACTAGAGGTGTCAAACTATCGATGGCACTATCGCCACTATCGATGGTTGGGCACTATCGAGCGACTGAACTATCGATGATTCAATGTATCGATAGTGGACGATAATATCTTCAAAGGTGCGTGATTAATAATTATAATTTTTCCTAATTTTTTATCATAGCTTGCAAATGATGGTTGATCGTTTTTTCGAATATGCTCTGCTTCATAACATAACCGAAAGGATTGTGCAGACACAATCTCGCAATGAGCGTCACTCTTTGCTTTGTTTTGAATCGGTTTTGGTTAAGTGCTTCGCATTGACTCATTGGTGTGAGGATCTCAAATGAGTGTCGCGTAAAGAGTGTCGCTTACACAAAGCCTCTCAGCAAAAGACAGTTTGCCTAAAAACTCAACAGAAATGATCGTGTGCATGCAAATACATACATACATACAATAGATGATAAAAGTATTTTGACAACGCATTGCAAAAACTCTCTTGTTTATTATTTCAATTCATTTAACTCAAGCAAACGATCAGTGCTTGACTTGAGCGAAACGAAAACTGAAATAACTGTCTCGCTCAGAGCGCGAGCGAGCTAAATCATACGGGACAAAAACAATTTCTGTCTGAGTCTTTTTTATTGTGTGAGTGAATGACACTTATTTGCAGACAACAAAAATCGATCACTACAATAAAAACCATAACTTAATAGTATTTAGGATTTAACTTTTAAGTCAATTCAGCTTTTATCTTAAAATGTAATTTCTTAAAATTGAAGTGTTCAAATTTTTAAGGCTAAGAATCACGGTTTTTTATTGCGACTATCGACCACAATCGATGGTACTATCGACAGCTATCGATGGTTTAGAAATTACTATCGTCCTCAATCGATGGGGCCCACCATCGATAGTTTGTCACCTCTAGCTGTTACCTTTAATTTAATATAACATAGGCTAGTAGCCTGCTACACTATTGAGGATCTATGCATTGTCATTGAGAATTTACTCAGTAGGCATGATAACAGTGACAGTTTTCGGTCATGCTTTCATGTAAAAAAATTATTCATGCACATTTTATACGTGTTTTATTAGTATAAAAGGTACTGTTACTGTTTACCACCAAATGAGATGAGCGAAACTAGCAAAGACAATTGGAACGAAGAGAAGCGCGCAGACTCGTAGTCTACAGCCGTAGAGGAATTTACCGACTATGTCAACAAGTAAATCGAGCATTTACAGCACATTCCAAAGTGGTCATTGGTACATTGGACAAAGAATGCCCGCACTGCCCTGCCTTTAAATTTAAAAATGAGCCGATCGGGATGTGCTGCTCATCAGGAACTGATCTTCGCTGTTCTTGCAGTCAATGCGAAAATTCAATTCATGTTTTCAAATGACATCGTTTGGAGCAACGGAAATAGTTAAAAATACTGCTGCAAATGGTCAATAATTTAATTCCACATTAAAAATCAAAGGCCAAGTTTACCACAAAATCGGTTCATTGCTACCAATGCCAAACGAACCTTATAAATTTTTAGAAATTTACTTTATGGGAAGCGAGGACCTCGAACGCGCACTCGCCAATCCCGTGGATGTCCGTTGCAACTATAATCACCTCAATTCAACTTTTGGAACGCGCATCGTCAGCGAGTAGGACGCTCTGTTAAATGAGCTCAATGAATATTGTGCATTCCATTGCGCTGAGAGATTAATCTGAATTTTCTTTTAAATGTCAATATTATTATATAAATTAAGTATTCGAAAGCGGTTTTTGGATTTAAAAAACATTTATTCACTTTCGGAGTTGGATTAGAACTAAACCTAAGAATTATTATACAAGTACTATTTATATGAAAAATGCCGCTGCTGCTATTG